TTGCTTGATTCTCTGAAATATTGAATCATACTGATAGGCATCAATTGCCTGTAAAACATCAGTGTCACATAGAGCAACAAATCAATCATTCAGTCAATCAATCAATAAACAGGAATCAGGAACAGCAGAGGAAGATATACTAAATGATCTCCTAAGCATTCATATTTATAACATTTTTGTTGTTTTGTTTATAATTAATAATAGTTATATCCCAATACTTCTTCCATGTAGTGTATCTCCTCATAACACCATAGTTGGAGGCTCGTATGTCACCACCTGTCTGTTTGTGTGGAGTTTGCACGTTCTCACTGTTTGGTGAGGTTTCTCCCTCGGTCTAAATATATGGTTAGGTGAATCGATGTCCATAAATAGCCCATTGTGTGTATGACTCTGTGTGTGTGTGCGTGGCCCATAATGCACTGGGTTTCTGTCTAGAATGATCCCCTGTCTTATGTCCTATGCTGCGTCTAGAGCAGGGGTGTCAAACTGCAGTCCTTTGGGGCCGGAGCCCTGTATAGCTTAGTTCTTTCCCTGCTCCACCACAAATGATTCAGCTCAACAGCTATGTGGTAATTAGCACAAGAAGTTGAATCAGGTGTGTTAAACGAGGGGAAACCCAAAAATGTGCAGGGCTCCGGCCCTCCAGGACTGGAGTCTGACACCTGTGGTCTAGAGCCCCCCACCCCAGGACCCAGCATTGGAAAAGCAGTTAGATGATTTATGAATCATCACTTAAACAATTATTACCTAGAGATAGAAAGGTACAGATGTTTCATGTTTCCCTAACAAGATTCTGGCTGCCAACTAGTTCTAGAAACAAGCAAACAGGGCCTCCTTGTGAGGGTGCTGAATCCCACACCTCTCAGCCTAGACCTAAAAAGTGCTGAGATGTTCTGAACAGGCCTGATTTGAGCCTTAGGCCAATTGAAAGCATTACATACACTCTATTGCCTACATGAGTAATTTTAAAGCCTATAGACCAGTAAGAGTCACTAGAAACTGAATTTTCAGTTCATTTACAGCTAGCTGTGGCAATTTATTGTAATGTTATCAGTAGTGAATATGAAGAATTATTTCTTATATAAAAATAAAATGAAGTTTACTAAAAGTGCACTATTACACAGCCCAAAACATACAAAACTGAAAACATAACAGCTGTATTTATTTTGAAAACCATTAGTCTTCTCAGCCCATGTACCTTCCATTCATTTCCCATTCTAAAATTAAAATTGAAAAATGATTCTCACAACCTGTTTTTCAAAATTGTCTTATTGTTGTTGTGAAGCGTGCGGGCGAGCGGAGAAGCAGGCAAGTCGAGCCGTGATTACAGGTAGAAACGGGGTTTATTAGGAGCTGACAGGACAATACGGCAGACAACATCAATGACGGATCTGGGAAACAAAGGAAGACGTGGACTAATATACACAAGACTAGCCAAAAGGAACAGGACACAGGTGATCACAATCGGGAATTAACACGAGGTAACGAGGGGGGCGTGGCACACACGAGGATCGGACGAGCCGGGCGTGACAATTGTCCACTTATAAAAAACACATATTGACGCGTTTTCTGTCAGACAAGTGTTTTTTGAAAATATGGCCTGATTGTTTATGTTATCATTTCCAATTTTGGATGTTTTTCTTCTAATTTGTTGATATCAGTTCCCATATTAAACCTGTGTTGGATTTGACAGAATCCATTGTTTCACCCTGTCCTGCCACCAGATTTCTTTCCTACTGTCTTTTACGTCACCCATCTTTTACTTCACATCTGTGCACATGTATCCCCAAGATTCACATTTTAAAAAGATATTGGAAAATAGTCTTAAACAAGAAAATCTTATGAAAGACTCTCTCATATATTTATGTAGTTGTTTCAGATCTGAATAATTATTGATCATTTGTATTATTTATTTATGTGTCTTTATGTCTTTTACCCCTTGTCCTCAAAAAGTTCTCTTGCCTTTTGCCAGGTAGTCAATGTAAATGGGAGAAATACAGACTTTCAGAAAGTGTTCATAAAGGGTTCGAAATATCTGAGAGAGAGCCTTAATGCACTTGAGGATTTGACAATGGGACCACCCTAAGCCCTCAAAGACACAGCAGGAACATGAAACCCAAGTCCAGTCCATGAGCGTGGGAATTGTGATTGGGCCCAAGACTACTTCCCGAGCATGTGCACGTAAAAGTGTGCAAAGATCAGTTAAACGAATAAGCATGGATCACAACAGGGCTACATTTTTCAATGCAGCAAGACCAAGAATTATCATTGTAAAATATTATACACATATACAAATATACAATGAAGAGCAACACCATAGCTGCCACCAAATCTTGAAAGGTATGCTGACAGTTTAAATTTATAAGTACTGTTTGATTGTGGCTAAGAAAATAACAATAATTATCTTAATTTCCAAACATGTGCTTTGTAGTTTAAGTTGTCGTAGTCATTTTATTCATGATCTTTCAAAACTCATTTAAATGTCCTTTATCCACCATAAACACACACACACACACACACAGCCCATGGCAGGTGAGTGGGATTAGGTGAATCAGCTCTGCAATGTAACGTGATGAATCCTGCAGCTTAGGAAAGGAAGCGGATGGCTGACAGTGCTCACAATGGAGGACAAGTGGACCTCAGCTTATACAATACAGTGGTACCTCGGTTCTCGAACTTAATTTGTTCCGGACTCCGGATCGAATCCTAAATAGTTCGAGTTCTGATCGAATTTTTCCCAAAAGAAATAATGGAAAACCAATTAATTGGTTCCCGGCCCCCCAAAATTACACCTAAATATGTTTTTTTTAGCATTTAAACACAAAATGAACAGGATAAAACAAGAAGAGCATTTTTTTCTTAATGGCTTCCAAAACGATAAAGATCTTATCCCAACATTACCCCTGTCCTGCCCCGATCGTCTGCTCCTTCCGTGTGCCACGCCCCCTCGTTAACCTCGTGTGGGATCCCCATGTGATCAGCTGTTTCTGGTTGTTGTCATTAGTCCTCTGTATTAAGTCCGCGTTTCAGTTTGTTTCCCCAGTTCAGTCATTGGATGCGTTCGACTTGCTTACAGTGCTGGCTTAAAGCAATGCATTCTGATCCTGACGCAATGCATTACGGTTAGATGCATTGCGACCTCTCACCCGGCTGCACAAACTGGAACCGCCACCGTGACGACACAACTTTGCCCTTATTATTTATTTTTTTATTTATTTATTTGCCCACCACCACCCCCCCTCTTCGGAGGACAACTTTATGTTTAATTACAACATAAAAAAAGAAAATAAATAAATAAATAAATAAATAAATAAATGTTTACATTCACATTATTTTTTTTTTTCCCCACGTAGATGGGGGGGCTCATTTATAACATACAAAAACCCGAAATACAACATAAAAGAAAATAAAACAAATAACAACAAGCATACAGGAGGCAAGATAGTGCCACAAGATCCGACAATGATGACAAAGCAAAAAAGACAGACAGACAAGAGACAATACGAGACAATACGAAGTGACTTACAAGAGACTGGGACACGGCAGACAAGCAGTTACAGTTAGAGATGCTGAAGTTGATCAGATGTATGTGTATGTGCGGGGTTTGTACTAAAAGTTTATAAAAGTAAGTGTGTATATGTGTAGAGAGAAGGAGGGGAAAAGGGGTTAACTCTGGAGATATAATTGCCCTTATTGGCTGAAGAGTTTAGTTACATGCATGACGTTTGTATCCCAGGCAGTTCCGATGCGTAATCTGCTATTTCTTCCGAATATCACGTAAAGCAGTGAGAACTGGTTTTCAGTTAATTTAGCTGGTAAAATAAAGTTTAAATAAATGACAAATGCTCTAATAGTACACGTAAGTTAGTGGTTTTATTGTTAGTTACTGTAATGTTGCACTGCTTTATTTGGTTAATCGTCCAGTCTGTGAAGAAGGCATTCAAGTAAGAGTTGCATTGTAGTATGACTCATTTCCTGGCGCATTGTTGTTGTGTGAAAGACAGCAGTGGAAAAAAACAGCCTGGATAGCACACCTTGGTGTGGCCAGAGGGGGGAAATAGTGACGAGAGTGACCAACACGTGAAAACAACCCCCGCAACAACAAACATGGTGCATCATGTGCAATATTCTCTTAAAATCACTGAATAATGCTCTACCCTGCTTCATCCTGACAAACAGCCCACAGTGATCACCTCGGTACCCTAAATACCACCCAGCTTTATTCTATATTGACAATGGATCTACACTAAGGGTGTAACTGCACACATATTATGGTTTGGTAGAAACCTTGGTTTTGGGTTCACGGTTTCAATAAAACAGGGAAAAGAGCATTTGTTTTAAAATTACTTATTAAAACCACAAACATAATTAGGAATAGTCGTAAACCAAAGGTAATGTGTCTGTCAATGTGTCTGAAAAACAAAACTAAGAGATGCTTGTTTGCACATTTTAAAAATAAATACGCAAAATAAATTATAATTAATAAATAACATCAACATAATCTTAACAAACAAAATCCCATTGTTATGATGAGGCATAAGGAATGATATCACATATCCCCAAGTAACAAGGAATAGATAGGGAATGTGATACCTAATGGTCTTCTTCATTGAACTACAGCTTGAATGAGTGGAATAGAATCCCTAGTCATTGCTTGAAATGGCTTTATAATAAATTAATAGTTACTCTTCAGGCAGAGATAAGCATGCCCATCCTGTATTACCCCAGAGGCCAATTATGCTGACCACACCTACAGAGTCCATGTGATGCCATGTGTCATTGGATTCATTATAAACTAGAGCGCAAGCCACTACAGAAGCGTTTGAGTCAAGTTCTCAACAGAGGCAGGTAAAGAAACAAATATATCTTTTATTGTGTCTGTCTTTCATTTCATTTAAATAGGGGCCCTCTTCGGAGAAATGTATGTTGGTGTTGCTGACAGTGAACAACAATTTGTGTTTTAATGTACATTTCTGCCCTTTTCATTTGACAGTTGACCAATGGCTGGCCAGAATGGTTCCTCTCTGGAGCTCAACTTCCTGTACTACCAGTCCATGACAGAGACAATAGACTTCATGACAACAATAAAGTCATCTGTTGTGCTGTCCACTGCCCTATTCTTCATCTCCCTGAACCTTGTAATGTTTCTTGCCATGTGGAGCAAACCCAGCTTCCGTGAGACTTCCCGCTATCTTCTATTCGGCCAAATGCTCCTCAGTGACTCCATCCATCTGGGATTCACCACATTGCTCTACTCGTGTAGCATGGCTAACATCACCTTCATCAAGGTCCTCTGCTCCATGATTGTCCTTGTAAGTGGGACAACCTTCCGCATCTCCCCCCTTACATTGGCTGTGATGTGTCTGGAACGCTATGTGGCCATTTGTTTCCCACTCCGACACGTTGATATCGCCACCCCCAGGAGAACCAGTATGGCCATTGCAGTAGTCTGGTTCCTGGGCTCTGTGAACTATGTAATTGATATAATTTTTTTAGCAGCCACAGATGCCCATTTCCTCACCAAAACCATTTACTGCACACAGGAGCGCCTCTTTCTGGCCAAGTGGCAGTTTGATGTGTTCCAGGTCTTCAATGGTGTCTTTCTTGTTGCTGTGGGGATCACTGTCATCGGCACCTACACAGGCATCATGATGGCAGCCCGGTCCATCAAGGCCAAAAAGGCCAGTACGACGGTTCTCCTTCACCTGGCCCAGTTGGGCCTCTGCCTCTCCTCCTTCCTGTTCAGCAGCATTGAGAGAGCCCTGTCCACAATCAGCTCAGCCCTCTTTATCCACCTGCGCTACCTGAATTTCTTTCTCCTTGTCCTCGTGCCCCGCTGCCTGAGCCCCCTCATCTATGGACTGAGGGATGAAGGAGTTCGTCCCCTCTTCCTCTGTTACCTCCGCTGCGGTCGCTGGAGGATCAAACCAGGCACGAGACATTGACAAAGTATATCAAGATCTTTCAAAATGTAAGGAAAAACTCAAAGACATTTTAAAGAAATTTATTTGAATTTGTAATAATAAAAAATATAGTACCTGCACTGTGGGGAGTAGGCGAGGCGCAGTTTGTTTGGGGGAGGGGGAGGGGCGTGAGACAGGTCTCTGTTCGTGATTAATTTTACCAGGTCTTTGTTCCCTGTGTTTCTCCTTGAGTGTGTTTGTCTTCTTCTTCCCGTGTCTTTAGATCCAGTAATTTAACACTGTACAGCCCTGTACCATGTCTTTGCTTTATTTTCTAAATCTAATGCACCTTTCCTGTTATCTGTATCTGTTTAATTGTTTGTGTTTACTTGCTTGCTGTCGTGCTTAAATATGTGCATTCTGAAGGCAAAATAAAATAACAACAAACAAAATGCTGACATCTGGGATATCAGGGTCTCATTTCCCCAACTGTAACTGGTGTTTCCTAAGACAGTATTTAGGGGGAATACAAGCACTTTCTTCCAATGATATGAAATGCTGAACCACTAAATATACTGTAAGTACCGGCAGAGTGAGGGGGCTCCCAGGTTAGTCAGCCAGTGTTATTTTATCGATTGGTATATTACACACTAGCTGTGTTTTTCCAGCTAGTGTAACCTGTATCCAATTCACACTAACTCCACCCCCTCAGTGAACTGTGATTGGAGAACAGGGATAACTGTTGGCAGTTGCTCTGTTATATCAAATCATGTTTATTTGCCTCAATTTGCTATAAGACATCAGTGCTGCGCAATCAAACAAATAAATCAATAAAGTGGAATCAGGCATAGCAGAGAATGATATGCCAAGTGAACTTCCAAGCACCCATACTTCTAATATTTTTTGTTTATAAAAAATAATAAATATATCATTAAGTAATAGTTACAGGGCCAGCACATATCTCATATCACCAAGGTTGGGGGCTCCTGTATCACATCCTCTGTATTTCTGCGGAGTTTGCACATTCTCTCTGAGTGGGGAGCTCTCCCCAGTAGTCCAAAAACAAGTGGTTAGTTGAATCGGTGTCACTATGTTGCCCAAGTGTGTATGACTCTGTTTATGTTGTGGGCTGTAATGGACTGTCTTCCTGTCCAGCGTGATCCCCTGCCTTGCCCCCCCCCCCCCCCCCCAGGGACGGATTATGGGTTGTGTGGGCCCCTGGGCAAAACGTTCGCGAGTGCCCCCCCCCCCACCACCAGCACCACCACCACAACCACCACAATTCAAGTGCCCTTGGCAGCCAAACGCCCTCCCTCCATGTTTCCATCAGAGGCCCTATAGGGTCAGGGGCCCTTGTAGGCAGAGGATCAAGGAATGTAGGCCCTCTAAAGTAGACAAACGAAAATACATTGTTGATAAGCGTTGCAAATTGTTTTGGGCTAGGGCAGCGGCCCCGCTGGCCCGGTCCGTAATCCGTCCCTGCCGCCACCTCACGACCCTGTCCTCACTTAGCAGTTGGAAGATAGATGGATTATCACAAGACAGTTACTAATACCAATTATTAACACGTTTTTGATTGACAACAGAATTTCCCTTTCCAGTGTGTGATGATTATAGAGGCTGAACGTGCTCCCTGCTCTGGGGAAGGACCTCCATAATCTGGGTGTCTGAGCTAGTCCTGCCTCCACACCTCTCCCCAGTGGTGCCATTAACGCTCATCAATTATTAATATCAGGCCTCTGATGGACAGCTTGTTTGTTCTGCTGCTGAGCAAACAGGGCTTCCCTGTGGAGATGAGCTGCCTTGTGACAGTGCGGGACCCCACAGCTCTCAGCCTGGGCCTAGTCAGTGCTGAGGCATTCTGAACAACAAGCCTGATTACAACCTTAATGTGACCTAATGAAAACACCACATACTGTACACTCTGCTGCCTGCACGTGCAGTGCTATAGCCTGTTAACCAATTAAACAGTGACCAGACTAACTAAACATTCAGTTCATTTACAGTTGTAATTTTGTAATAGGTTGTAACAGTTAATGTGAAGTAGTTTTTTTATGAAACTTTAAAGAATGATTTGTGTTTTATGAATATTAAACTGCAGTTTACTAAAAGTACACTGCTTCATAACCCCAGACAGAAACAATATACACAAAACCATTGTAATTATTTTTAAAATCATTAGGCTTGCAAGGGTTTAACCTTGTTGCTCTGCAGTGACCTCTAGTGTTAGCTGGATTCCTACAGGGAGGTGAGTGTAGTTATGCACATTAGATGTGTAAAATTACATGATGAATACTGCAGCTTGTAAGGGAAAGAATGGCTGACAGTGCTCACAACAGAGGATAAGTGGACCTCAGCTTCTTGCAATATTTACTGAGAGATAAAAGGTAAAATTTAAAAATGAACTATACACAACACATTTCTAAAATACACACCTGTATGGTGACATAAAGGTTAATAAATAAATATAGTCCAGCTGTGGGTGGCCTCTGGCCTTTAACATTTGTGATACAGAGCCAGAGTGAAAATTTCATCGCAAAATTGTTACAATTACTTGTGTGAAAGTGGAAAAAAAACACTGTAGAGCACAACTTGGTGTGGCCCGAGGGGAGAAATAGTTGAGAAATTGACAGGGGAGTGACGAACATGTGAGAACAGTCCCCTAGAAAAATAAACATGGTGGATCCTGTGCAATATTTTCTTAAACTCACTGAATAATGTCCTACACTGCTTCATCCTCACAAACAGCTCATGAATAGTGATTCTAAAACCACAAACACAATGAGAAATCTATCCTATTGTTGAATCAGTTAAGCTAAAATCCAGTGCAATGGGGTGCATGTTATGAGGATTTGTATTTGTGTAAGCCATGTGGTTGTCACATGTGAGATTTACAAGTATGCTTATGTCTTTGTCTTAAATGAGCCACCCAGGGATGCAATAAGAATTTCAGTCTATGACTGACAATAAAGTTGTATCGTATCGTATATCGTAATAGTTGTAAACCAAAGGTAATGTGTCTGTCAACATCTCTGATAAACAACACTTAAGAGATGTTTGTTTGCACATTGTAAAAATAAATATGCACAATAAATAAAATATATATGTATAACCAGTGATGGGCGGTAGCGCCGCTACATATATGTAGCGAAGATATTAGTTTAACTATATTTTCTAGTAGCTTGCCTGTAGAAGTCGCTGATTTCTGAATCAAATAACTTTCCAGTAGTTACGTTATTTTTTTGATCAAGTAGCGACGTAGCGTCCACAAAAGCTACAACTTCCAGGACATGTCTGAGAAAAGCAGAGGTTTTCTCTGCAGTATGATTTTGGAACGCAACAATCAGATAGAAATAAAACATGTTCATGCGCGACCTTGTACTCTGCTTCTACTGCCTGTCTATCGAAACACGCATGCGTATGGCAGTATCATGAGATCGATACTTCAGTTTCAATTTCTGTCCTGAATGCACTGCGGCTGTCTGCGTAAGCGATGCTGCTCACGTGACTCAGCGGTGCCAGGCAAGCAAATAGGCTCAGTTTAATATTTACAATAAAGTATTGAAGTAGTGGGCCGCCGAACCATTCTCGCAACAATTAAACAGCAGAGATAGTTCGGGGATTAATCACCAGATGGCGTTTATTACACCTGTATTACTGCAACCCACACACTCGCACTGTAATTCAGGACTTTGATTCTCATTTCAGTTTGGACCAGTCCATTTGCTATTGTCCCAGTGATCACTCTCTGAGCCATGCTTATTAATCATGGTGTTGCATGTCGTCCGTAAACACAGTTTAACACAGTTCTTAAACACAAAGTTTATTTGTAACTTCAGTCAACTTGTTTAATTGGGGCATGAAGAAGTTTTCTCGTTAAGGGAAGCCCTGAGGAAATGACGGCTGTTAATATGGTTTTTCTTTTCCCTAGAAATTTTACATTGAATTAAACCTATAGCCATGTCTTGCCCATCGAACACTACACAGTAGCTTTCATTTGGTACTAAATAGTTTGTTTACTAGAGTACTGGGGCCTGTACTACGAAGCGGGGTAACTGGCTTATCGGGGTAACTTTGCGAGTAACTTGATGACGTGTGGTGTAACTTCACGATTAACCCGTACTACGAAAGG